AAATCGGAGAGGAGAGGACGAGCCAGGACTGGGTTACCTGCTGGGTGTCTGTCCCCCGGCGGTGCCCCCGGAGTCCGGGTAGGGAGGGGGGAGCAGCAGGGGGGGAGTGGGGGCTGGGGGGGGCGGGGGAGACGGTCCCTCCTCTGCCTCCTGGGCCTGCCCCGGCGCTTGCAGCCTCTGCCTCCCTCCCTCCTCCTCCCCGTCCCCGAGTCCCGGAGTCAAACAAAGAACTGTAGCAGGCTCTCCCCAACCCCCTCCCTCCTCCTCCTCCTCCTCCTCCTCCTCCACCTCCTCCCTTCCCTCCCTCCCCACCAGCAGGCTCCCTCCTCCCTTCCGGTCTCTTCCTTTAACTACCCACCCCCTCAGCCCCCCGCACTAGTCTCTCTCCACCCACCCACCCCAACCTTTTACACACCCCTCAGCCTAGCCCCGTCCCCGAAAAGGAAACTGTGGAGTCCCTTTGCAAATTGAAAGGCTCCATAAAAGATGGGGAGGACACTGGGGTCTTGCTTAAAAGTCAAGAACCACAATACAATTATTTTATTTTCACAGCCAGAGGAATAGTCTTGGCTGTTTCTTCTCCAAGAGGAGGAAGAAATAATCCTACAGAAAGCAATACAAATCTGACTAAAGCCTTCATCAAATAAAGTGCACAAAGCAGTGGAAGGCAATCCCCATGCCCCTTCCCCACCCCCGCATTAACAAACTCTCCACTTCTCCCTAAAGAACTCTTAAGGTACCGGCCAGTTTAAAGCAGGCCTACCAACTTTAATAATAAAAATAACTAACACCATTTAGCAATAAGCATTCATTCAGTGTTCCTTCTGTGCCAGGCACTGTGCTAAATGCTGTGCATAAATTATCATTTTACCCTCCCAACTGCCGAGAAGGTAGGTATTCTATTAATATTTAAATTGTCCAGATTAAGAATATGACGTTCAGAGAGATTGTGACATTTCCAAATTCCTATAGCCAGTAAGTGGCAGAGCTGGGAACGGAATGAAGTTTGATCTGACAGCCCAAGCTCTCAAGTATATAAAAAGAGAAACCATTTTTTTTTTCCAATACCATAACCAACCCCAGGACTTAATGGACAAGGGCAGCCATAGCTATCAACTGAGTCCTCCTCCCTTAAGAGAGAGATCCACCTACCTATGCTGGATAAACACACTGATTTCTCAGTCTGATCACTATTTCTTGACCCTTCTCACTGTTGAGTGCAAAGGTGGAGGTGTCATTGATTAAGGTCAGAGATGAGCTGGTGTCCAGCGAATCCCCCATGCTACACACAGCCCCTCTTCTGGGGGTAGCTGTCTTGCCACTACTCTCACTTCAACACAAATGAACACTGGGCCAGCAGACAGTAGGCAATGCAGGAGGTGGAAAAGTAAAAAGACATCTGGGAGGCTCGCTCAAGGAAGAAGGGGGCTTGGAGAGAAAGCTCTTCTGTGCCAATCTAGGGAAAAGTGACCCAGAGTTTTCTTGGCCCAGCAAAAGGTTGTATGATCTTTCCACTACACCACACCCGCGCCCCTCCCCCTCACAAAACTCCAGGCCAGGGTTTCCCACCTGCTGGATGCTAAGGCCAAGGGAAGGGAGAGGGGGAAAAGATGGCAAGGGCCCGGATCTGAACTAGGGCCTGAGGTAGGGGGCCGGAATGGAGAAGGAGAGGCCTCATTGCCTGGCAACCATCCCGGGGCACGTGCACTGGTGACATCATCCCAGGCCACCTCTAACATCGACCTTTGACACCTAGGGGCGGAGAGCGGCCGCTGGCTATGCTTCCTGGGAAATAGTCTCAGGAATTCTGGGAACCCAAAAAGGAAAGGAAGGTGGAAGCAAGACCTGCTCCTTCATTTATGTCGCCCAGTACAGCTCCAATCTCTGAAACTCGGGCCTTTCGGCTCCACCTCTCCGCCTCCAGCCCTGACCTCCCAACCCACACTTCTGACAAAGTCCCGACACGCCTCCCGGAGATACTGTGCCTTCTTTCTCCTGGGCGAGATCTCGGGTGGGAGTATGGGGCGGGGGCGCCGAGTCCCGCGGGACTCCGTCTCCCATCTGTGAGATCCCCCGTGCCTCTGCCGGCCGCCAGCGGGAAAGTGTCTGGGTCCCCAACTCTCCTGCCCCTCCCCGCGCTGTTACAGGGCGGAGTCTGTGGAGTTGAAACCAGGACACGGCAAGAGGAAGAGTTATATAACCGGGAGAAGCCGGGAAGAGCGACTGGAGACGGACAGAAACAGCTCGAAGGGAGCTGAGGGAGGTGCAAAAAGCCCTGGGCGAATGAGGAAGAAGCATTAAGGATGCGAAGGATTTTGGTGCACATCAAAGAAGAATTCACGCGAAGGGGCGTGATGGCCCGGGAAGTCACCTGGGTCGTCCAGGGCTTCCCCGAAGCGCCCTCCCCTAGCCACCAACAAACAACAGCTGGGCCTGAGCGAGTGAAACGTCGGCAAGGGGAGCTGGAGCGCGTTCGGTTCCTCTTGGGCAAGCAACCTAAGCCAGAGCCGGGCAAGACAGCAGCGGAGCTTATGGGGCTGAAAACCACAGCTCCGTCTAGCCCATCACCTGGGAGAGTGGTGCGCCAGCTGGGAGGTTGGTGGGAAAAAGGTAGCCCGCCCATCGCACCGAAGGCTGGAAATTAATGGTTCGAGACCTCGAGAAAGAGGGAAGGCGGACGCAGAGGTCTGGATCGGGAGAGGCTTTGGGGCCGAGCCCAGCCAGCAATATCTAGCAGACTCAAGAGTGGGGGGCGGTGAGAGCCGACCCGCGGCGCAAGCGCAGCGGGGGTGGGGGGGGCGGGCTCCGACGCGTGCGGCGGAGGGAGGGGCAGTGGGCGCGAGCGTGTGGGAGTGCACGTGCTGGTCCCCAGCAACTACCCTTCCTTTTCTCAACCTCTGCCCCTCCCCTCTCCCTCTTCCTGTAGCTCTCTGTTGCCTCCACCACATTGGCTGCCAGGGCCCTGATGTCAGGGACGTCCGCTAGAGCGGATTGGGCAGACGCGAGAGTTCGGGAATTCGGCTCGGTAGTCTAGCTCTCCTGTTACTCTAGCAACAGGGCAAGCAACCCCGGGGGCGAAGGGAAGCGGTGCTCAGCTCCGCGCCAGGGTACCGCCTCTCTCCTAACTACCGCCGAATCCGTTTTCGCGCCAGCTTGCTGCCTGCCCTCCTTCCTCCCAGGCTCTCCCTGTCCCGAGAACCAGGCATCCTGCCCTAGATCTTTCCCAGGCTCAGCCTCCCTCACTCGCCAACTCCCACCCCCCAAGTCAGAGCCACAAGCCACAGTAGACTGGAAGCGTATCTGCGTTGCTTAGTAACTAACCCGCGTGTCCCTTCCCCACTATTTACCCCAACTGCGGGAGGCAGAGACTGAGTCCCCAGCCCCCTCCTCACCCCATGCATTTCGCCCTCCCGCCCACAGTTTCCTGTAAGGGGCAGAGGTGACAGGAAACCAAAAGAGCACCTCAGCCCACCTTTCCCTCTGGCTGGGGAGGACGGCTCTGGCTGCTTTCATCGCCCTATCCCCCACCTCACTCCCCTCAGCCCAGGCTGTGTGTCTCGCCCTCGCCATCTCGTGGCTTTGCCGGGAACCTCAAGCACAAAGAAGAGCCCCAGCCGGGAGAGGGCAGAGTAGGGCAGGACCAGGGATGACGAGACGAGCAGGATGAAGTCGAGTGAAGGGAGGTGAGGTGCGGCGAAGTGGATGGGCCGGAGGCCACCGCACAGAGGCTATCAGGGCTCCTGGTGTAAGGGCCAGGTCTGGAGCTATTACCCTCGTGACAAGTACTGGGGAGAAACTCTGAAGTGGCCCCAGGATCAGAGACACATCCCTACTTGACCACTTCCGACCACCAAGGACCTACGCACAGACCTATTTGCAAACTCTGACCTTTAGCTCTGTCCTGTAGTTAGGGACTGCCGCGCCCCGCCCCGCTCTATTGTCAGGAAGGGGAGTCCTAGCCAAAGGGGGATGGGAGTCCTCTCAGGCCCCTCTTAACATCCGGAACCCAAGCCTTCTGCCTCTCAGCCCTTCCCCCACTCCCGCCCTGCTCTCTTCTAGGGGACTCGAATGTCCTGCGCCCCAGTCTTCTTCCCTATGCCTTTGCCGAGACCCAGACGTCCACCCCCAGCTCTACTTCGCCTGCGACTCAAGAGCCCCGCCCCCCTGAGAGGAGATGGTTGCCCTCTTTCCAGCCGCCCCCGTGCCCCCCGTTACCTGATTCTAGGGTGTCCCAGGTGTTCAGACTCCCCAAGGTCTCCCAGGGGGTCGAGCGGCCCCCCCCCCCCAGGCTGGGGCTGGGGGGGCCGCTCCGCCCCGTGGCGCAGTTGGATTTTCCAACACAAACCCCGCCCTCCCAACCCCGCCCCCCTTCCCTTGGTCCCGCCCTTCCTCGCCCGAAGTGCCCCCCCCCCCCGTCTGGCTCCACCCCGCGTTTTGCAGGTCCCTCTCGCCTCAGCACAGGTGCCAAAAAAGATACCGAATGCAGATTGCAGAGTTTGGGGTGTAATGTGCGGGATCCAGCCCCGATCCCTGTCCGACAAACCCCTATTCCATTTGGATCACGTGCCTTTCCAAAGTAAGTCCCGCCCCCTTTTCTAGCCCAGCGAGACTTAGCCACACCCCCTTTTAGGCTCTACCGTGCTTCCCGTTCGTTCGAGGTCGAGGCTGCTTCTCAAGGCCTCCCACTTTCCCTGCTTCTTTTACCCCTCCAGTAGCAGCTCACCGCAGCTCTCTGATCCTCTGTAAGGCCGGGCTCCCTCCCCAAACCCCACCATCCCATTGAGAGATTTAGGGCTTGTAGTCACGGGTGTTTTACTGCACTGAACTCCAATTCTTCCACCTTTATGGCTAGCACACTGTATCTCCAGGGCCCCATCACACAACAAATTCAACCAAGGACAAGGCTTGAATGAAGTCCAGCCTCGGTCTGAGATGCATTGTCAGCTTTGGTTCTTAAGAGTCCCTAGTCCTCCCTCAAGCGGGGACGAAGAGGAGGCTTCTCAGTTGTCCAGGCTCATGAGTAGAGCAGTGCCCCTCTTGATCCAATGATCAGATGTCATGGTCCCACACCGGAGGTCGATGCCAATGACAAAGGAGGCTCTGTCTGAGCTGCCTGCCCGGTTGGGATAGTAATAGCAAGGACAGGAGTACATACCTGAGGGAAAAGACAAGAGAAGGAATCGGACCCCTGGAGCCTCTGGGAAAACAGGAATAGAGCAGAGGATGGGTTAGAATCAAAACTGGGGATGGGGTAGGCAGGTCTGAAGGTGTGTCCCACCCTTGGCACTCTTCTTTCTGCTCTCTGTAGGCCGGAAGTGGATGGTGGGCATGAGGCAGACAAGCTGCATGGGCTCTGCTTCCACCAAGCAGGAGTTTTTCCGGTCCCAGCCAGCACCCTCTAGATACAGGCCTCGAACCCAGACGCCGTCCTGGGGAGACATAGGGGCGGGTTGAGGGGAAGTGGAGACTGTTGGTTGCCAGGACCCCTGACCTGCCACCTCTCCCTTCCCCACTCAACCAATTGTTTCCCACCTTTGCTCCCAGCACCTCCTCCACCAGACCTGCCTTTGCTCAGAGCCCCAACCACATCAGGCACCCACCTTGGGTGGATACACTAGGTTGCTGTCATCCACAGTGGAAACAATAAATTCCCAAGAGAGGCTGTCCACTGATATCTGGAGATTAAAGGTGAGAATAAGGGAGGATCCTCAAAAAGGAGAGCAAATACATGTCCCCAGCGTCCAGTTCCTAAAACACTCTCCACGTGGCTCACGTTGTTTTGGCGAGCTGAAGATTGTAATACAGCAGTGAGAAAGCCAGTGGGGAAGGTGAAGCCAGACAACCAGAAGATCACAGGAGGCCGGGCACGACTAGCCCACAGCTCAAACTGTTCTACACGCAGGGCCAAGTCCCGGGTCCACGCAGCCAGTGGCTTTTGTGAGGGATATGCCTGGAGGAAAAGGCAGTACATGTTCATTCATTCATGCATGCATGCATTCAAGTTCTTATTTTGAGCACTGAGAGCAGATATAAGAAGAAAATGTGGTGTCAGCCCCTGCTCCCCAGTTTCAATTGGGTAAAGCACTCCAAAAGCCAACTGCTAGGAAAGAAGCATAAAATGACAACGATTTACTAATGATCGTAATAGTTACCAGTCACCATTAATGAAAACTCCTATGAAGTGCTATAAACAGTGCTGAGAATCATTGAAACATCCTTGGAGAGGTTAATAACTTGCCCTGAGTCAGCTTCTAAGTTAACGTCTTATACAAAGTCCTTCAGTGAATGACAGCCAGACTTCAACCTTGAACCTGCCTGGCTCCAAAGCCCAGGCTTACTGCATTTTGCTATATGCCTACCAAGAACCAGGAAATTGGGGGCACAGGGTTGAGAGCTCATTGCTGGAGTAGGATCAACAGTAGTGTAAATCTTGCCTTTCCCCAGAGTGGAGGGACATGGGCATCAAAGATGCAATTGAAAATTTCTTCCAGGCTTGTAGACATGACGATGAGGCCCTGGATGCCCTTTTCCAGGTCTGTCAATGAGAACCTGAGCAGGACAGGATGCAGGGTTAGAGATGGGTTGGGCCTGGAAGAGTCATCCTAGGTAGGAGGTAAAGGCCTTTCCTCTTGCCACCTCCCCACACTCTGCAGAGCCCCTCTCCATCTTACAGGATGGTCTCCATAAGCTTGTTGTATCTCTGGATCTCCTGCAGAAGGACCACATTGAGAGGGGAGGGGTCCAGAGCCAGCAATTTTCGGGTCCCCTCATAGTCGATCATTTCAGGGATCTTCTGTTTCACATCAGTGGCCAGCTCAAGGACCTGATGAGGCAAGAGCTCTGAGTGCAACCCTCTCTCATGGCTCTCCCTTCCCCAGGTGTCTATTCTTACCTTCTCTTCCCTGCTCTGGCCTCCAGCCCTGGAGGGTGTAATCTGGGGTTGCAGGGAAAGCAGAGTCTCAAAGAGAGTTCGTGCCTCAGTGATCTGGGAGGCCACATCTGCATTGGGGTGCTGGCCAAAGGCTTCAGGGGGGTCCATGCTAGGCAACATGCTGATGTACTCCTTGTAAGAGGCCAGGCTCCCATCCTTGGGTATGAAATAAGTGTCTAATGCTGACAACCTAGAGAGCCACAGCATAATTACCACCACATTGCGGGGGCTCTCTGTCAAACCAAGACTTCAGCTCTAACTATGTTCCATTTGTCTGTTCTTGCTCTTCCTCCTAATCCCCCACACACTGCCTTCTCCCAGTCTCATGTTCTCTCCTCAAACATTCCCCTACCCCCAGTCCTGCCACCTGGTCTTTTTGTGTCCTCTGGCCCCTGTTCAGTGCCACCTCCCCCTCACCGGTAGGAGGGGGTTGATAGAGACTGGTCACAGAAATAGTCATTGATGTAGGTGGTGAGCAGGCGCCGGTCCCAGTCATCCGTGACGTGCCCACCATAGTTGATGCCTGCAATGAGGTACTTGAGCGCATCCCAGGGTGTCTCCTCATACTCATCCAGATAGAGGCTCAGCAAATTCTCTGACACCTGTGCATGACCCGGCCCCAACCCCCCAGCACCACACAGTTATTGCAGGAACTCTTCTAATGGGGCTGCTTTAAAAAAAATAATAACTTCCCAATGGGGCTTTAACAGAGACTTTCTGTCGGTGGGTATTTCGGGAGGGGAGCCATGAGTTCAGAAGTAAAAGGAAAGGGAGCTGGCATAAGGGACCCTTGGTGAGAACAAACCTCAAAGTCAGAGTCATTGAAGCCATAGACAATGTTCCAGCCAAGCTGCAGGAACTTTTTGCGTTCGAGTAACACAGAGTGAAAGAAGCAGAGTGCAAACAGCAGCTTCTTATACTTCGCAGGTTTGGAGCAGCGGGAAAACTGTGGTTCCGTCATCAGTTGGAAAAGACGTGTCATGTTGGCTTTTAGGCCCTGGGGACAGTGGAGTAGGAAGAAGGGATGACAGCATCTTGCTCAGCCCTGCCACTAGCACACTGTGCTACAGTGTACAGTTGTGCAGGTTGCTCACTGCACGAGGCACTGGCTGAGTAGAGGCTGAAATCTAGCCCTAGATCTGCCTGCTAACATGTGCACTCATTCACTGGGCTGGGTGCCTTTCTCTGATTCACAGAGAGGCACCGTATGCGCTGGTGGCAGTCCTACCCTCTTGTCCTCCCACTTTTGATCCTCTCAGCCACAGTGTTCTCAGTGGTGGGTAAGCTCACTCAATTTGGGAGTACCAGAAAATAGGAACAAAGACAAAGATATACATACAACTATTAATGAACAAAAATGTACACTGTACTATGTGCAAATGTTTGGTGTAGATTAGAAGGGTCATAATATAGCCCTGGCCAGTGTGGCTCAGTTGGTTGGGTGTCTTCCCATAAACTGGCAGGCTGCAGGTTATGTTCCCGTCAGGGCACATACCTGGGTTGCAGGCCAGGTCCCCAGTAGCGGGCGCATGAGAGGCAACTACACATTGGTGTTTCTCTCCCTCTCTCTCTCCCTTCCTCCCCCTCTCTAAAAATAAAATATATTTTTTAAATAATAAAAGGGTCATAGTATTAGGGCCATAATAAAAGGGCCAATAATAAAATAAGGGTCACAGGGAATATTCCCTGTGATTGGATTTATCAGTCTTCATGAACAAGTTGGGATTTGGGCTCTTACAAACGGGAAAGATATGACCGGGCTGAGAAGAGAGACTTGGTTTCCAGGAGATAGAAAGAACTGAGGAATAAAGGCACAAAGGGGAGAATAAGTGAGAGAATAAGTCTAAATGAAGTCAAGTACAAGTGCTGAGGTCAGGTAAGAAGAGCCATTAACAGATGGAGGCGCAATAAGAAAGACAGTTTGAACTATTTGGACTTGATTGACCAGGCATTATGGATCCACTTTCTGTCTTGAGGAGAACAGTGATATGTTGAAACAGTGTCTTAAGAAGACTCACCTATGATGGACAGAGTGGAGTAGGGAGAAAACTGAAGAAAGAATATTGGACAGAGCAGTAAAAAAAAATATGACTTAAAATGCCATTTATAACATCAAAATATGTAAGGTAGAAATAAACCCAATAAAAATGTATAAATCTTCATAGAGAAAATTACAACACTTCACTGAAATAAGGAATAAATGGAGAGACATACTATTCTTGTGAATTGGGAGGTTCAATATCCTAAAGATGTTGATTTCTTCCAAATTGATCAATAGGATTTTTTTTTTTTTGGTGGAACTTGACAAGCTAATTCTAAAATTTATGTTGGAGCCTTGGCTGGTGTGGCTCAGTGGATTGGGCGCTGGACTATGAAGCAGAGGGTGGCCTGTTCAATTCCCAGTCAGGGCACGTGCCTAGGTTGCGGGCCAGGTCCCCAGTGGGGGATGTGTGAGAGGCGACCACACATTGATGTTTCTCTTTCTTTCTCTCTAAAGAATAAATAAAATCTTAATAAAATAAAATAAAATAAAATTTATGTTGGAGAGCAGCCTGAAGAAAAATAAGGTAAGGAGACTTGTCTCATGAGCTATCAAGAAGTAGTATAGAGCCCTGGCTGGTGTGGCTCAGTGGATTGAGTGCATGCACGCACACGTGCACACACACACACACACAATTTAAGGCTGAGCAGACACATTGTAGATCAGAAGGGTAATTGCAGGCTATTTAATAATAGTACTCAGAGAATTGGTTATCCATGTGAAAAAATATTAGACCTCTAACTACCTCATTCCACACTCACAAAAAACAATTTGAAGTGGCTAAAAACCTGTATGAGAAAGTCAAGTTATAAAATTATTTTGAAGACAAGTATAAGAGAGTGTCTTAATGTGCAACTTGGAGTAAGCAAAGATTTCTTAAATCTTTGGCTGATAAGACATAGGAGCATAAGTCATAAAAAAGGAGGTAGCTAAATTCAAACTGATAAAAATTAAGAATTTATATTCACCACCCTGGCTGGTGTGGCTCAGTGGATTGAGCACCTGCCTGCAACCTGAAAGATCATAAGTTTGATTCCAGTCTAGGCACATGCCTGGGTTGCAGGCCAGGTCCCCAGTTGGGGAATGTCAAAGGCAACCAACTTATGTTTCTCTCATGCATCAATGTCTTTCTCCCTCCCTCCCCCTTCTACTTCCATGAGGATCTGGCAGATCACAGAAAGCACGCCTGGGCAAAGCCAGGATGGGCTCTCCCCACACTCGGGCACCCCATTGCTGATTCCTCTCTCCCTCCTCTTAGGTTTCCCTCAGATTCTTCATCACCTCCCACTTTATTATGCAAAGCTGAACAGCACCTACCTCTGTACTCACACACCTCTACCCATTGCAGGGTGCTCAACCTAGCTACCAAGCCACATATCTCTTAGAAGGCAAAGAAAAAAAAGTTCTTTAAAAATGAATTTAAAATGTTCTTTTAAACTGGGGTTACATTTCTGGACTGTTTTTACATAGGGGCACAGAATGCTTCTTGGGTAGAAAAAATAAATACAAATCAACTTCAAATATATATATATATATATTATATATATATATATATAATATATATATATAATTTCATTAGTGGAGCCCTGGCCAGAAGGCTCAGTTAGAGCATCATCCTATACACCAAAGGGTTGCAGGTTTGATTCCAGGTCAGGGCAGATACCTAGGTTACAGGTTCTATCCCTGGTTGGGGCATGTATAGGAGGCAACTAACTGATGAATGTTTCTCTCTCACATTGAGGTTTCTCTCCCTGCCTTCCTCTCTCTCTCTAAAATCAATAAATATATCTTCAGGTGAGGATTAAAATTAAAAAATTAGTGGTACCATTAACAAAAATAGGATGAGGAGATAATCTATGGTAGAGGAACTGATGACTTGTTTTACAAGTGTGGGACTTATGGAGCTGGCATGCCAAGAAGAAATGTTTTGTAACCAGATGGAATTCAGAGCTGGAACCTCAGTTGATAAACTCATTTGATACCGGAGCCAGAGATGGGGATTGGAGTTGAAATCAGGAAAAGGACCATTACTCTATCAAGCTGTGAAAGGAGGAAATGTTGAATGAGAAAAGTTGGAGGTCAAGAACTAAGTCTTGAGATACAACCACAGACAAGAGGAGAGAGAAGCATGGAATGATTCTCTAATAAATGATGTGGCAAGAGGCAGGGGGAAACCAGGAGTGCATGTCAGGGAAACCAGGAAAGGGACAGTCAGCTGTATCAACCACCCAAGGTGATCAAGGAGGACTGAGGACAAGAAGGTTCTATGTGACTAGTTATTTACTCTTCAGGGCTTCAGTTTCCTGTCTGTAAAATGGGTTAATAGGGCTTACCTGATAAGGACTGTGTGTATGAAATGAATTAATAAATGTAAAGCACTTAGAACAATGCCTAGTACATAATAACACTCAACAAATATCAGATATTACTATTATGTTCTAAGATTTTGGCACAAAGAAGAGAGAAATGGTTAAAATTTTTAACAAAATGTGTTGTTAAGGTTAAGCCCACTCTCTGATGTCAGCAGAAGGAAGGGTAGACCAGATGGTATGGCTGATACTGGCTATGTACAGTCACCCATACCTTTGGCGGTTCTGTGGTCATCTTGATGCTGGCCTGTAAGATTGAAATGGGAAAGTCGGGGTGGGGGCTAGAGCTGAGCCAGAGGCGGAAGGAAGGGTGAGGATCCTCCACCTGCAGTCGTTCCACCAATTTGTCAAGATTAGGCATCCAAGACAGTGACAGGTGGCAGTTGGCCAGGAACACCCATTGTCCTGCAAGGAGATGCTAGATTCAGTGGGATCCATTCCCTAAGCCCCATCTGTTCCCACACTATCTTCCTGATTGTGTGTTGGTGGGGAAGAGTCAAAATGCTCAGGTCTGCCACTCCTGGGGCCTCTTGGAAAAGTGGGAGCTGCAGACATGGCAGTGTGATTGAGGTTGGAGGTTCTGGGGAGTAGGACCAGCAGCGCCAAGGACGGGGGTAGAAGAACAAGAATGACACTGACCTTGCATCATGCCCTCTCGGAGGAGCCGAGCAGCAATGGGGGCCTGGCCCTGGCCCAGGGACAGGGCGTGGAAACGCTGGGCCATGCCTGTGTGCTCAGCCAGCTGGAGCAGAGCACTGGTGGGGTCCACACCAGGAGACAGGATGAACACCAGTGGGGTTCGTGGGGTTGAATCCTCCATCACCTGACAGAAGCACAGGGTATGGCCTCAAGCAGAAGGCACGTAACACGAGTGGGAGAAAGAAACTGAGGAGATGTACATGGTGGACTGGAACGGGGAGAGGGAGGCAGGAGGGACCCAGGGGTGGTGTGGGCAAGGAAACCAGGTCACTGACCAACTTCATGTTTAGCACAGGCGGTTCAACGAAGCGGGAGCCGAGGTTGGAGACAATGAAAGAGGTAACACAGAATGCCACGCGGTCCTGGCGTAGGGAGCGAACAATCAGCATCCGTTGCATTTCATTGCAGGCATTCTCCCACTCACCTGTGGATGAGTCGAGCTGTTGATGGACAGTCTGGAAGAGCAGAGAATCTAAACAAAGGAGCGCCTGCACGGAATGCTCAGCCAGGAGGCAGATGGCTAAGAAGAGCTGGGGAGAGGGGATAAAGAACAAAGGGACAGGCAAGCACATGGGCTGAACAGAGGGAAGGAAAAAAGGCAGGAACAGGGAGGCTCAGACGCCTGGGCACCTGGCAACATAGCCTTCTCCGGGGTGGAATTGGTATACCACAGGTGCCAGTCACGAGGATACTGTTCAAAGGAGTTCATGAGTCCATGAAAGTTGGTTAGTTTGTCTAGCTCTGTGATGTTATCCCAGTAGGCATCCGCAAGCCAACTAGTACATGGGTTATCCATTTGGCCCTCCCGATCCAGGACCTGGGGGAGAGGAGATAGGAGAAAGGGACTGACTGGGAGCACCTCCAAAGAAGAATTACCCTTTAAAAAATGATATTTATTTATTTGTTTGTTTGTTTGTTTGTTTTTACAGAAAGGGGAAGCAAAGGAGAAAGAAAGGGAAACATCAATGTACGTTTGCCTCTCATGTGTCCCCCACTGGGGACCTGGCCTGCATCCCAGGCATGTGCCCTGGCTGGAAATTGAACCAGGGATTCTTTGGTCTTTGTAGGCCGGTGCTCAATCCCCTGAGCCACACCAGCCAGGCCTCCCCCCCACCCTTTTTTTTTAAACATTAGAAATCCAAGATGAATCTAGTATGAAACAGAATGCCAAGGTGAATACAGGAATCTAAGATGGACGGGAATCCACCTTCATTAGGGACATCAGTGTGGAGATTTAAGTCTCAGATTCTGTGTTCAAATTTAGGGCGCTTGCGCCCTCTGGTGGTCGCCTCTTACCTAATGCTGTCAACTAGTAGCCTCACCTTTTAGAGAAGCACAAACTGTTAGAGTTGGTTCACTTAGTCATTCTCTTTAACAAATACTTATTGTTCACCAACTAGAAAATTTTTAAGCACTTGTCATGAGCAAGGGGGTACATGGCAAGTTACCCCCACAGCCTCAGGGAGTTGGCCATGCCCCTGCTCCTAGCAGTTCTCAGCTTACTGCAGCCTTGGGCCTTGCTCTCCGGATCCGGAGTCCTCTTCATGCTGGCCACCCTCCCAGCCTTGACCACCCCACGCTTAAAGGTGTCTTCTACCCAACTCACCACACCCCCACGTAGAAAGAAGTTGTACTCATCCATGTTGAGCTTGCCAGAAGTCTCCAGGATTTTGGCACACATCTGAAAACTGAATAGCAGCTTGTGGCGCTCAAAAAGGGTGCGGCAGGTGTACCTGGGAGAAGAGGACAGGGAGGGTGGAGGGGGCAGGACACTCAATATGAATGCTTACTGATCATACATCATTTGAGCACAGAGTCCTACATGAGAGAAAGTTCTTCATCAGCACCAAATTCAAAACTCCTATAAACAGCCAAGCGCTCAGGGACCTAGATAGAGCGCGTAATTTTCCCAGAGTTCACTGGAAAAATCAATCATTTGTTTCTATTAAAAAACACCCAACACTGACTGGACCCTGACTGTGGGCACTCTTCCAGGTACTGAAGACACAGACATGAACAAGCCAGGGTCTCTGTCCTGGAGGAAGTCCGGTAGCATGGGAAGGACAAATGAGAGAAGCCACTCATTATGCAATGATGTGATGCGTGCTATACGGGGTGATAGTGCTATCGAGGGGTCACAGGATAAGGGCGCCCACCATGCCTGGCGGACACATGGGAGGTTTCTTAGAGGAGTTGCCCTGAGGTATAGCAGAGTTATCGAGTGATGTAGAAGAAGAAGAGAAGGGAGGGCTCCAGGGAGAGCTCAGAGCAGAAGCAAATGTAGAGATGAGGGTGGGAGGAAGCAGACATGGAAGGCAGACATGGAAGGCAGCCTGCATTACTCAGGCACCAGTGTAAGGCGGGGAAAGGGGAAGCTGGGGAGGCAGGTGGAGGCCAGGCCAAGAAGGTCTGTGTGGGCCTTCCAAAGAGTTTGAGCCAGGAGCGGCGCAGTCAGATTTGTGTTTGGAAGGCTCTCATGGATTGCAAGAGGACAGACTGGAGAGGGACAAAGTTAAAGGCAGGACAACTTGTTAGGGGATGTCTGTGCAATTCAGAAAGATCACAAATGCCTGAACTTTATAAAGTACACTTGTAGCAGTAGAGAGAACTGGGAGGGAACAGGTTGCAGAAAGATTCATGAGCAAAACCTGGTGACCAATCTGAGAGGCGGGGAGAGGGAAGAGTCCAGGAGAACTTCCCCTCTCTGGCTTGGGTGACTGCGAAGTGGGTACTGGTGTCATTCAAGGGTGAGAAACTTGAAGGAAAAGGGTAGATAATGAGTTTGACCTGAATTTGAGGGGTCTGTGGGGTATCTATATAGAAAGATCAAGTACCTTGCTACTCAGAGTGTAACCCACAGACCAGGAGTGACAGCATCAGCTGGGAGTGCTAGACAGGCAGATCCTGGGGTCCCAACCTCAACTTACTGAATCTGAATCTGTATTTAACAAGATTCCCGGTGCATTATAAGCACATTGCTGTTTAAGAAGTGCTGGTATATTAGACAATTGTACACACAAGTCCCATGTTCAAGGGAGAGCTAAAGATATAAAACTGGGAGTAGTCAGGCCATAGGTGATGCTTAGAGCATGACAGTGAAGAAGCTACCCAGGGAGGGTGTACAGGCAAGAGATCAGGGGACCAAGGTGGCATCATGGGAAAGCACAAAGGCAGAGCTGGCAAAAAGGGTCAGTGTTACAGCCAGCCACTTGGCCTCCTGCCTAAGGCACGTGGGGAGGAGCCTCAGACCTGTAGACAGCATAGGTGTGGTATTCATTCAGGTAGTCAATGCGGTCCTCCAGCTTGTTGCTGCGATGGCTCTTGTCAATGCTGAGGATAAAGAGGTTGATGTAGGCATCCAGCGAGAACTGGTACATGGGGTCAATGCGGCCCATGTCATTGAGCACGAAGAACAGAACCGACGCCCGCTGGGCACATGGACGGTAAGCCTGCAGCGAGGGCAGAGCAAGGAACCACAGAGGAGCATGTCAGGTGGCAGGGACTCACAGAGGGCAACATGATTAGAGTTGCATCTTGATGGTGGGTAGGGCTGGGCTGGAGGACACAGGAGCTCACCTCTCGGGCCAAGTCAATGTTAATCTCTGTGGTTTCACTGGTCTCCAGCTGCTCAGTCACCTCATTGGCAGTTATCTTGGAGGTCTGAAGGGTATTCACCAGCTGCACATCATCAAGCAGGGAGCCTGTGGCCTCATTCAGTAGCCTGGAGGGAAGCCAAGAGGTGTGTGCATGGAGGGGGCAGGGCCTCCATCAACCCCCTGGTGTGCTAGTTGTGACTGTGAGTGGGCCAGTGGGGCAGTGGAGGCAAGGTCTCACCGAAGGATCTCATCCTCCAGTTCCTTGAGCTTTCTCTTGCCAGCAGCGATATTGATGACCAGTGAATCCTTCTGCTCCTCCAGCTCAGGCCGCTCCTTCCGGACCACAATGCCCAGCAGTTGGGCCTCCAGGCCCTGGAGGTGTGCCAGGAGTCAGGGTGAGACTCACTCCAGTGACCTTCACTGTTTTCATCCCTTTACACCTCCCAAGCCCCTCATCCCTTTATACCTGGTCAACAGAAGCTTAGCCTTTTTCTCATTCCTGCTGGAGTCTACAGCCCTGACTCCTCACCCTATTTCATTCTAGGCATCAGCCACCACCCACCTGTTCTTTGACTGCAAAGTTGACAATGGTGGTCTTGGCTGAGGTTTCTGGGCTGTAGTGGGGGTTGGAGAGCTTGGTGGTGATGTAGAAACGAAAATTGGTGTTGTATTCCACCTCCTTATCTCCAATGCGAATCAGCAGCCGACCACCTGTACCCACAGGGGGGTCAAGGGCAAGGACCCCATGTGACCAAGTGTGGGCTGACCTGTTCCCCTACTGGCATCCAGCAGCAGTGACTCAGCCTATCCTAATGGCCCCAGCCCAGGGCTGTCTGAATGGAGGGACAGATAAGTAGAGGACATGGCCAAAGAGCCAGCCCTTCCCTCCCCAGTGTCCTACTTGGCTGGCCCTTAGAATTTGCCCCACAGTCCAATCCCACATTAAGCCTGAGCCCTGACCAATTCGAGCTACAGATTTGTTGAGCACAGGGTTGAGTGTGGGGTCCAGATATTCCTGCACATTCTGGAGCAGCACTGGGTATCCAAACTGGATGGCCTTTTCTAGGACTCGAAGGTAATCACCCATCTGCAGGTCAATGATCTGAAGGCCCTAGAGAGCAAGAGAAAAAGATGGAAGAAACACAGGGATTCAAAGGGAAAAATGGTCCAAGGGTAGGACCTCAGGAAGAGACAAGCTTGGGAAGAGATTCTAAGGAGACAAAACCAGCCTTATACCTGTTTTCCCTCCATGTTCTTGATCCACTTCAGGGCCTGGGCCTGAGGATCAATCATCAATGCCCACCTGAAGGAGGAAGCGTTCATCAGAGAACAGGCTCTGCCCTTACTCCTCCTCCTGCTCCCAGCAGCATCCTTACCTGTTGCCACGGGTGACGATGATGCCATTCTCAGTGGAGAAAGCATCTGAGGGCAACCCTTGAATGTTCCAGTCCCGAACTTTGGTAGGATTGGACAGGAAGTTATCAAAGGTGAAGCGAGGTGAGCAAGGAACTTGAAGCTCCCAAATCTGGTTAGGGAAGAGCCCCAGATTTCAGCCTGCAGACCTGAGCTCAGCATCCCTACCCTTTCCTGAAATCTCTTATTACTCCCAAAGGTAATTACATCCCCTATTCCAGTCTCAGAGCCCAAGATGTCACTCATCGTGCCTGAACCTCACCTTCCTGATCCAGATCTGGTTGACAATTTCATCCCGGTAGTTGGTTAGGAAGGGTCCCATGTAGGACAGGAAGGCAGCTGCCAGGAGACAGTCACCCACCAGGTAGCCCAGGTCCTCCTCCAAGCCCTGAAGGACAGTAGAGAATGTGTGAGCCTGTCAGGGTCCCCAGCACTGGGAGACACTTGGAATGCTTTGAAGGCACTCTCCTCTGAACACTATCAATCTTGATTTAAGACTTTTTTTCTTCTCCTAACCCTTTGTGCCCTGAGAACTCTAACCTGGCCTAATTACTTTTGAGGTCTCCATTGTTGGCAGAAATTTGTTTATATTCTGGTGATAAGGCCTAACACTTTCATGACACCAGGAGGTTACTGAAGGCAGAGGGACAAAATGCCCCATGAATGCTTCTATCCAGTCAATGTGCTGTACAAAGGATCCTCATGTGCACTTTCTAGCTCTACCTAAACATGGAAGCAGATCTCTAATGGTACAAAAAAAATCTCTCCTGGTACTCTTCTCACCAAATATGAAGAAAGGGAAGGGAAGAACACCCATCGCCTATTCTTGGATGTCCCTACACTCAGCTGTCCCTATTTTCTTTGACTGTCCCTTGACCTAAAGGGGATGGGAGCTGTTAGAACTGGTTGGCAGGGAGGAAGGAGAATCAGGTGGCAGAACTGATCTCACCTTTGCTGTCTCCTCCCATCGGGCCTTCTCGCCAGCCAATCCAGACACCAACATTCCAGCTCGCTCCAGTTTCAGTGCCATCTCCTTAGACTTCTCGCGAAGCTCCTCCTTTTGTGCCAGCTTCTCATCATACTGTTTCTTCAGCATCTCCAGTTTCTCAGCCACCTGAGAAGGATCAGAGTATAAGGATCAAACAAGGGCTTGAGGAATATTGTTCTGGGTTCAAGTCATCAATCTGTTATTTTGTGGCTGTATGACCTTGGGTAAATTGACCTCTTTGAGTCTTAGTTTCCTCACATGCAAAATAAAAATTATAACACCTACCCTATAAGATTGTTGTAAGGAGAAAAAAAAAGATAAAATATGTGTGATGAGTTTTCTTTCTCTTCCCTCCACTGCTCCTCTCCTTGAGCCCAGAAATTACTTAGTAATGAAAGTCAGAGCTGGGTAGGAGACACACCTCTCATAGCATAACAAACCATATAAGGTATGTTGACAAGAGAGGATCAGAGAGCACAAAAATGACTGCCACTCCATGCCAGAGGCCATGCCCAAGGTGTGACCTTGAGAGAGAAAGAAAAATCTTGAAATGAACTCAGGAACTATTGGAGACACATAGAAGGATTCCATTCAAGGAAAAGCCCCATGTCCAAGGTCCCACTCCAGAAACAGGGATCTGGGAGAGTTTTACCTGCTAGAGAAGCCTCCTTCAATTCATCACCACCCCATGGGCCCTGCTGAGGTTGAAATAGAGTCACTTAAATCTGAAGCAGAGGCCTAATTTAGCCTCTTCCAGGACCTGGTATGTGTGCCTGACTGGTGAGTAGTAATGTTCTTTTATTTTGTTTTTTTTTTAAATTTAATTTAATTTTTATTTTTTAAATATTTTATTTATTTGTTTTTAGAGAGGGAAGGGAGGGAGGGAGAGAGAGAGAGAAAGAAACATCAATGTGCGGTTGCTGGGGGCCGTGGCCTGTAACCTAGGCATGTGCTCTGACTGGGAATTGAACCTGCAATGCTTTGGTTCACAGCCCGCGCTCAATCCACTGAGCTACACCAGCCAGGGCTCTTTTATTTTGTTTTGTTTTGAGAATTTTTATAAGAGTTTATTTGAGTCAACCTGATGACATATGCCAGGAAGCAAAGATCTCAAATGCTCCAGAGTAATTTGTTTTTACAAGCTGGTTTCAAAAAGCTGCAAAATAATCTTGTGTAGGAGTAAGCCATTATTTTATATAGCGAGTCTCCTACTAATAGACAATTGTGTCTTTCCAACATTTTCTACTATTAATGCTGTAACGAACGTCTTTGTGGAAGCAGAAGTACATCTTGACGCCATTCATTTTTTCTTTTAATTTTATTTATTTTGTGAATAAGCAACTGAAAAATTCAAAAGGCATAAGGGCATGAGAAGTCTTCCTCCCAACCCTGCTCTCCATCCACCCACTCCCTTCTCAAGGTACCAATGTGACATGTTTCTTGAATATCCTCCCGGAGGCATTCTCTACATATACAAGTGTATTCCACACTGCTGTTTCCTGGGTCATCAATTTTAGACTATTTATATTGACTTTATGCTATGGCAAATGGAGATTTAATCCCTTATACAGCTACACCACCACCCCTTTCTCTCTACTCCTAACAGTTTTAGTTCTTCTACTGATAACCCTTATAACTTGAAGTAACATATTGAAACCTCATTTTAAACATTTTAGTTATTTATTTTAGAGAGTGGAGAGGGAGGGAAAAAGAGAGGGAGAGAAACATGGATCGGTTGTCTCTCACATGCGCCCCAGCTGGAGATTGAACTCGTAACCCAGGCATGTCCCTGGCTGGAAATCAGACCAGCCACCTTTCACTTCGAGGGATGATGCCGCACCAACTGAGCCACACTGGTCAGGGATTGAAACCTCATTTGATAATATCTACAAAAGCACTGCCTGATCTTTCCCTCAGCCCCCACATGCATTCACAGCTTTTTTAGCTGTGCTTTTATTTTTACATTTCAAGGTTGATAACATTCTCACTCAGACACCACAATCAGTCTTCTGTGCTTGTCTTTAGGTTGATTATAAAGGTCTAATGCCATAAAGAGCATCAGCGTTATGACCTGGGCTGGTGCCCAGTGGGACCTGGGTGGCTGACTGAGCTGCTTGTGGCTGAGGCACATTCTGAGAGGTCACTGTGAATACTGAACTGGTTGTTAAATATTTTCTGTTATCCCTGATTACAGTCTTTCAGAAAAATATCTCTCTTATGTTTTCTGATTTTGTTTTGTTTCTGTTTTATATTGTTTGACTCTATCTTCCCATCCTTCTATTGAATAGTTTGATCATTTTTAAGTTTCTCAGAACCTTCCTTTTCTCTGTTTGAATTCTTTCTCTTATCCTGTTTTTGTTGTGTAGATGTCATTTCTTCCTTAATCACTCTCTGATAATACCAATTTTAGATTAGGTTTGTTTTTTAAGTTCTTCTCTATAATAATCTCTGGATTCAGTGTTTCTTCAGGGATCCTGTTTTGCCATGTTTTTATCTTGGTCGTTCCATTTCATGTTGGAAGATTTCCTCCATGCTTTTACACACCCCTTCTCCATGGGTGGCACGTGACTGATCTGACTGGTGACATCAGGAAGAATAAACTGGGAGTGCTCAGCTGAGCTCAGGCTCTTTCCTCTTAGGCAAGAGCACCAGTTCCACTCTGCCCGCCCAGCAATACCAGAGACCTGGTAAGTGTCTCTGAATGTGGGGTCACTACTAGTGGCAGCCACGTTCTCCAACTTCATCTTTAAAAGTGGTATTTTGAACTTTTATTTTATTTTATTTCTTACTTTGTTTAAAACCCAGGCATATAAGAAAGCTACTAGTTCTTGGATCCCCTCAATAGTATATTTGCAGCAACTTCCGGCCACGATGGAGGTGTAGGTAGATACACTTTGCATCCTCACACAACCAGAAGGACAATGACAAATGTAAAAACAAAAAATAATCAGAACTGCCAGAAAATCGAACTGTATGGAAGTCCAGAAACTAAGGAGTTAAAGAAGAAACATTCATCCAGACCAGTAGGAAGGGCAGTGGCTGGAGGACCAAGTGGTCCCATATTTGTGTGCAGATAAACTGGAAGGAACAACTGAGGAAAGAGACAGGCCACTCAACCCAGGGTTCCAGGTACAGGGAAATAAAGCCATAAAATCTCTGGCTATAAAAACCTGTGTGGGTTGTTGCAGCAGGAGAAACTCCCAGTCTCACAGGAGAGTTTGTTGGAGAGACCCACAGGGTCCTAGAGCATACACAAGCCCACCCACCCAGGAATCAGCACCAGAAGGGCCCAATTTGTTTGTGGGTAGCAGGAGAAGTGACTGAAAACCAACCGAGCGCCAAGCATGTGGCAATGTTTCCTCTCTGACCCCTCTCCCACATACAGTGCCACAGTGCAGTGACCCTGCCCTGGTGAATACTGAAGGCACCACCCCTTACAACATAGCAGGCATGCCAAGACAAAAAAAAATGACCCAAATGAAAGAACAGATCAAAGCCCCCAAAATAGAACTAAGCAATGAAGAGATAGCCAACCTATCAGATGCACAGTTCACTGGTAATCGGGATGCTCACAGAAATGGTTGAGTATGGTCACAAAGTAGAGGAAAAATTAAAGGCTATGCAAAGTGAAACAAAGAAAAATATACAGGGAACCAACAGTGCAGGGAAGGAAACCAGGATTCAAATCAACGATTTGGAGCAAAAGGAAGAAATAAACATTCAACCAGAACAGAATGAAGAAACAAGAATTCAAAAAAATGAGGAGAGGCTTAGGAACCTCCAGGACAACTTTAAATATTCCAATACCCAAATCATAGAGATGTCAGAAGGAGAAAAGGAAGAGCAAGAAATTGAAAACTTATTTGAAACAATAATGAAAGAGAACTTCCCCGATCTGGCAAAGGAAATAGACTTCCAGGAAGTCCTGGAAGCTCAGAGAATCCCAAAGAAGTTGGACCCAAGGAAACACACACCAAGGCACATCATAATTACATTACCCTAAGATTAAAGATAAGGAGACAATCTTAAAAACAGTAAGAGAAAAGGAGATAATTACCTACAAAGGAGTTACCAGAAGACTGTCAGCTGATTTCTCAAAAGGAACCTTGCAGGCAAGAAGGGACTGGAAAGAAGTGTTCAAAGTCATGAAAGACAAGGACCTATATCCAAGACTGCTCTATCCAGCAAAGGTATCATTTAGAATGGAAGGGCAGATAAAGTGCTTTTCAGATAAGGTCAAGTTAAAGGAGTTCATCATCACCAAACCCTTATTATATGAATTGTTAAAGGGACTTATGTGAGAAAAAGAAGATAAAAAATATGAACAATATGAACAATAAAATGACAACAAACTCACAACTACCAACAACTGAACCTAAAAACAAAAACAAAAACAAACTAAGCAAACAATTAGGACAAGAACAGAATCACAGAAATGGAGATCACATGGAAGGTTACAGTAGGGAAGTGGGGAGAATGGGTGAAAAGGTACAGGGAATAAGAATTATAACTGGCAGGTACAAAATAGACAGGGGGAGGTTAAGAATAGTATAAGAAACGGAGAAGCCAAAGAACTTATATATACAACACATGGACATGAACTAAGAGCGGGAAATGATGGTGGGAGGGGGATACAGGGCAGTGGGGAGTAAAAGGATGAAAAAAATGGGACAACTGTAGTAGCATAATCAATAAAATATATATTTAAAAAAGAGTATATTTGCAGACCAGAAAACTCATTCAGAAGCTTTAGGTGGGGCTCAGGGTTTCATGGACAGGTGTTTCGATTTAGGTGATTTTTAGAGGCTCCTGTTAGGCCTGGTGGGTTTTTATACTTGTGTGGATGACTTTTTAAAAGATTTTATTTATTTATTTTTATAGGGAAAGAAAGGGAAAAAGAGAGGGAAAGAAACATCGATGTGAGAGAAAAACATCTATCAATTGCCTCTTGTTTGCACCCTGACTGGAGACCAAACCTTCAACCCAGTCCTGACTGGGAATTGAAGTGGCGACCCTTCACTTTGTAGGTCAATGCCCAATCGAGCCACATCAGTCAGGGATTTTGTGGTTGACGTTTAACTGCTGTCACCTGGGTGAAAATCTTTAAGCCAACTCTGAGTTATTTT